TGCGATACCTGCGAGTTCCCGCTTGTTCTTCGAGAGCGCTCAGCAGAAGAGCAAGAGGGCAGAAATGTGTATTGAGACTTCTCTTCTTGTGCCGCGAGGTGAGAGCCTCCATATACGCCACATATGTATGTCGAGCTGCAAGTATAGTGCGAAGCAAAGGCGAACTACTGGCGACTCTTCTCAGCTTCTGTTGCGTTAAGCATGGCGTAGTCGCCAGATGTTTAATGGAATCTGCAACAGCGCACGTTGTTAGGTCCAGGAGCAGGTTTGACGCGTGGTGAAGTCGACTAATCGGCGGTTCCTTTCATTTTTTGCTGCATCGTGCATTATGAAGCGGCCAGAGACCCGTATCAGGAGCCGTATTTGCGAGGCCACAGGGCCAACGGCGGCCACAGCCGCCGGTAAAGCAGGCGAAGTGTGCTGTTTGACCTCAACGGTCTCGGCCTATACACATGGTAGGTGAGCAATAAAAGGCCATTTGCTGCTACGATTAACCGCACATCTTATGTTGTTAAGAAACGTCAGGGCGTTTGTGCACTCCGGAGTAATGTGATGCTTTACACATCTGCAATTTGCTGCTGTTCCTCAACCAGACACGGAAGCTTCGACGCCCGTGATACACATCCGCAGATAACATACGTGCCTCTCATACTCAGCGGATCCCGACTTGCTGCGTGATGGGTCGCGTCGTGCTCAGGCATGTGAGAGGCTGAACATGTAGGCCCAGCTGGAGGTACACTGCGAAGTGAAGTCGGCCGATACAGCTCTTGCCGCTCCCTGCTGCGCTATGCCCTGTGATATGGCAAGCGTTGTGGAAGCGTCAACATGCCATAAAACTACATATATGTTTAGCTGGAGGCATAATGCGAGATGAAATCGGCTGGTATAGCTTCTCACGCCCCCTTTGTCGCGTGACGGCCAGAGAGGTAAGAGCGTTGACGTGCCGTATATATAGGTCCGAACGGAGGTAGAATGGAGGTGACAGTAGGTTTCTGCATTATGCACTACGTAGTGGCTGAAGATGTAAGAGCATCGACACGCCATCGTTTGCGTAGATCCAGCTGAAAGTGTCATGCCAGGTAAAATCTGCTAATGTAGCTTTTCTTTATTCGCTAAATGACACATTGCATAGTGGCGAAGACGTGAGAGCGTCAACGTGCCGTGTATATATATGGATACATATAGGTATGTATAGGTCCAGCTGCAAGGACAAGGCGGCCGGTGGCTACTTTTCTCCATAATCCCCTGCATTACGCATTATGTGTTCGCTAGGATTCTTCTGGTTTCGTAAGCCAATCAGTCGCCGTGCACATTACACGTAGATTTACGTATATGTATATATATATATATATATATGCGTATGTATATGTACGGGTATGTACATGGAAGCAGATAAACTGTTGGTGCGCATTGCTGTGGAGGTGCCGGCGGGCTGCCATCCACGCGCGGGGCGCGATAGACAAACACCACAGAGGCCTCATAATCCTTTCTTGTGAACTTCCCTCTTTCTTTCTTTCTCCTTTATCTGTATATATACATTACGTGCTCCTATGGAAATATGTTTATATGCATATGTATATATATATGTATATGGCTATATATTTGTATACACGTGTAAACATATATATATATATATATATATATATTTATATATATATATATAGCACATGTTCCTTATGTCTGCAGCTTTTTCTACGGATTAAGTAGAAGGATTAACAAGTCAGATCCCGAAGAAAAACGCGGTACAGAGGAGTTTCTCCCTACTTTTATTCCCAGCCAACACCCGCAGGCACACCCCCTTCCCTCTTAACAAGCGCCACGCGCACACACTCTCGGCCACACGGTAGAGCGGCTGTCGCGCGCTACGTATACGCGAGGAGGCCTCGCAGGTATGTTGTAGGTTCTAGCTGGAGCAAGAGTAATAGCATTAGTGAGTAGCCATGTTCTTCGTAGTCGCACTACTAGTGATAGTACTAGATGATGATGCATGCGCGACTCTTCCTTCTTCTAAGCTTTCTCGCTAATAACAGCAGCACCAGCAATCAAAAGCATCGCCTTCTTGCTGTGGGAGTGAGGCTGCTACTTCGCGCGTCTATGATGTGAAGGACAAGAAGAAGAAGAGGAAGAGGGGACGGAGGAGGAAGGGGAGGAGGAGGTGAGTGATACGACAACGAGTACTACAGTGGTAGGTGGTGGGATGGGGCAATTCGCATAAGAAGTGTGAAGTCGTCTCCAGAGTCTTCTGCAGCTGTCTACTCTTTGAGTGGCGAACCCTATGCTTCTCAGTAAATACTCTTTTGATTCGCTACGGTCTTCTTCATGAGTTATTCCGACGTGTATGTCCTCCATTGCCGGCCTACCACCTTTCTCTATAAATCGCTTTTGACAGTTTATGCGCTCTGGTGTCGTCCTACCGCTTTCACGAGGATCTTTTATGCAAGGTAGTACCGTAGTCCGCAGGTTTCTTCCTGCTCCTTTTCAGAGGCTTGCCCGCTCCTAGCCACATTTTCTTTATTTAAAATGTATGCGCCGCTTTTTCTCGCCGGCGCTCCTGTATACTAAACCGCATTTTCGGCATACTATTTGTCATTTCCACCGCTTCGAAGACTCTTCTCCTGATGTATAGGAGGGATTGTTGCGATGTTCCTCATCACTTCATGAGATTCGACAACTAATAGGGGCCTTTTCCTGCCCTAAAGCGTCCTTCAAAAGTCTCATCATCGTCCGTCTGCAATATTTTTCAGCCTCTCAACTACCTGCACCGCTAACAGAGCTTTTTCCTGCTCTACAGTTGCCTTTCCTCTCTATTAGAGTCAGCATCTTGCAATATTTAACATCATTTTATACCGGGGCTCCACCGCCTTCCCAGCTACCTTCCCTCTGGGTAAAAGCGGGCATGCGTGCAACGTCCCTCCCTCATCGTCTCAGCGTTTTCCACCCACATGAGGGATCTTCCCCGCTTTGCGGCTTTCCTTCATATAAAAAGTCATCGTTCTTGCTGTCCTCTCATCTTCCCATTTCCATCGCAAATTGGGTTTTTTTTCCGCTCTATAGTCATCATTCTCGCAAGACTTCACCATTTTCACCGATTTCCAGCGCAAGTAAAGGTCCCGGCCTTCTTTCCATCTTCCTTTCCTCTGTATAGTAGTCAGCATATATAGTAGTCATTGTTCTTGCAGTAATGTGTCCCTTTTTCAGTAGTATCGGCCGCCAGTAGGGGGCTGTTCCCCCTTCAATGCTTCCGTTTCTGTATGGTGGTGGGCATTCTTGCACTATTTACACCGTTTGAGCGATCATTATCGCTGATAGAGATCTTTCATCTCCCACCATCTCTGCTGTAGTCCGCATTCTTGCAGTACCCCGCCTCATATGAGCGGTGTCCCCCGCTAATAGGGGTCCTGCTCGCTGTGTGGAGCTCGCTTTCTCCATATAAGAGTCAGCATGCCTGCGGAATTTTTGTTGTTCTCAGCAATTTCTGCTGCTACGACGGCTCTTCACGCTGTAGTGTCCGCCTCCTGCCCGTAAATTTTCCTTTTTTTCCAGCGATTTCCGCGGCCTGTCGGGCTCTTCGTCTGCTGTATGGCTTCTTCTGTATCGTAGTCAGCATTCTGGCAATATTTGTCATCCTCTCACCGCTTTCCAGCGCTATCCGGGGGCTTTCTCCGCTTTATAGGTAAGCATTCTGGCGATGCGTTTCACCTTTTCGCCCGTTTCAGTCGGCGGTTCTTCCTCTTTACAGCTGCCTCCTTTCCGTGTATGTATGTATATAGAGTCAGCATCCTTGCAGTAGTTTCCGCCACTCCATCGTCAACGAGGGTCTTCCCGCTGTACAGCATCTTCAGTATTTTACTCAGTGTATATGCAGTATTCTCATCCTCTCGGCGATTTTTAGCGCTAGTGAGGGTCTTTTCTCCTTCACAGTAAGCAGTTTGGCAGTAGTTTCCATTCATCGCACCGCTTTCGCCCGTGATTTCTCGCTTCACAGCTGCCTTTATTTTCTCTCTATGTATATATATGTATATCGAATCAGTATCTTTGGAGTACTTTCCGTCGTTCCACTATCAGGTAGGCACTTCGCTGGTTCACAGCTGCTTCTGTATCTCACGCAGCAGTCCCGCAATATTCTTCACCCTCTCAGCGATTTTCCACGCTACTAGGGGACTTTTCCCGCTTTAAGGGTGAGGATTCCGGCAGTACTTTTCATTCTCTCAGCCGCTTTCGCCTTGATAGAGCTCTTTCTCCGCTTCACGGCTACCTAGCCTCTCACTATACGTGTATATACATATATGGAAGCAGCATTCTACGGATTGTTTGTAGGTGAACGGGAGGACAGACAATCGATCGTTTGGGTGGCTAGAGAAAATAGGAGAGACATCAGCTCCGTCACGGAGCGGTGCGCGCAGCCGGCGTGAAAGAAGGAGATCCAGAAGATCGGTTGTGAGAGAGAGATTCGAGGATCTTAACAACAACGAAGACTAATATTAGCGTTACTTCTGAGTCGTCTAACGAGTCCAAGGCTGCAGTGAAAGACTTCATTCCCGTTGTTCACGCATACTGCAGCAGCAGGAAGATATAGTATGAGGGAGGAGAGAATGGAGAACTGCCATTTTGAACTTTGACTACCACTACCATTACTATCATTAGTGAAAAAACTTTTAAGTCGTTTGCCAACGAGTTAAAGTGCAGCAGCGAAAATTCTACTTCGCGTTGTCCGCGCTTTCTAAAGAATCAAAAAGATCTAGTTTGAAAGGGAGGAGACTAGGAAGCTCCTATCTACCTCTTCTACTACTACTACTACTACTACTGCCATTGCTTTCAAGTCGTACTAACAACAAGTCAGAGACCAGCGGGAAGACTCTGTTTGTATACTCTTCACAGTGGTGTTGGGTGCAACAGCAGCTTCGTCATCATCGCTAGGTATTGCTGCTGTGAAGATGACGGAGGACGTACCGGAATGGGAGCCGTTCCATCTGGTGCTGCCTTGCCTGTCACTGATGAAGGAGAGGAGGAAGAAAAGGAGGAGGAGGAGGAGGAGGTGGAGCAGGAGGAGGAGGAGGAGGGGGAGCGAAAAGTAGACTAAGACCCAGTAAGAAACAGTCGTCGGCATCCACCTCTCTTATAGAGAATAATAGTGTAGCAGCGGGTCATAGTGATGTTCCTGCAGATGCTCCTTATGAGACAGAAGATGTATATGATCACGGGGTACCACCTGCGGCACCTACGTGTGCTGCGTATACTCCTGGTGGCCCTTCCAAGAGAGGGGCTGCTGCTACCTGGACGATCATATCCCTATGAATAGTCATAGTTCGGCTACTGCGATGGATGGCAACGTCGCCGGCGCTGCTGCTGACACTGCTGCTACAGCAGGTTCTGCTGCTGATGCTTGCAGTGGCAGCGCTGCAGCATTAGATCACGAAGGGCTGGATGACGAATATGCTGCTAATGCGCTGAATGGTGATGTTCCTATATGGCAACGAGCAGCACAGCGGCAGCCACTGGTGGGAAGGAAGGAAAGCTGGCTGCGCTGCTTAGAGACTTTAGAGGCAGCGAGTTGCAGTATGCAAAAGCGCGCACATTCCTTGTACGGCTGCGTGGGAAGCACCAGCAGCAGCAACAGCAGCAGCGGCAACAACAGCAGCAAGAGTCATGTGAGTCGAGCGGGACATCCTCGTCATCAGTATCACCTTCATCAAGCGCTGCGGAAAACGGCAGCAGCGACAGCAGCAGCAGCAGCACGTAGCAGCAGCGGCAGAGTAGCGGCGTCTGTAAACCTAGCAGCGTATCACCACCTAGTGATGACAAGGACAGTACCTCCCACAATGGTGACTGCTCGGAGAAGGCCAATGGTAAAGATACCAGTAGTAGTAGTAGCAGTAGTAGTAGTGGTAGCAGTACTGGTACTACTAAAGCGAGGAGAAGGTCTAAAGAATAGTCAGAATGGTGGAGGTAAGGGACGTGGTGAAGGCAGCAGATGCAAAGAAAACGACAGAAAAGAAGTGGGTGAAGGAAGTGACCGAGAGGACGAAGAGGAGGAAGATGATGAAATTCTGCAAGAGGTACAAGGAGGACCCTGCCTGCGCAGGGTACGAGGTGATGGTTGCTGCTTTTTATAGAGGATATATGTTTGGTCTTTTGCTTTACTTTCTAAAGCACAGAGACAAGATCAAGGATTTCATCAGAAAAATTAATGAAGAATTCCGGCCGGAAATACGCAAAGTCGGGTAGGCACCTACCACTGGGGACAGCAGGACGCGCTAGCTTATATATATATATATATATATATATATATGCGCAACACCTATATATATTTACATGTATACATAGTATATATATATATATATACGTATTCGAGTATAGGTGCCAACATTTGTATCATATCGCGCAGATTTTCTTTTGCGTTTGCAGGAGTCGCAGAAGTGTGTTTCTCTGTATGTACTGCATACTAGGAGCTGCGCGGTTGGGGGCTGATTTCGTGCCGTAGAAGCGCGCATGTGGCTGTTGATGCTTGTCAAATTGCATATATGTATTTATATGTATCTATATATATATGTCGCACATATATATGTACGCTTTAGCAAGGGGAGTGGGCCTGGGTGTGTTCACTATGGTGAGAGGTGAGCTATAGCTTTACGTGGACCTCCGTAGGTGTGGGTGCCGACGTACCGCCACGCTTGTGCATGATGTATGTATATATACGTATGTAGGTACAAACACGTACCCGTATACGTGTACGTATGTATGTATGGAGGGTTCAAGTTCGAAGGATCTCCAGGCGGCAAAAGTGACGCACACGTGTGTTCAGAGAAGCGCCAGCAGGCAGCGTCTCGCGAGTAGGCTACACCTTAGAGGCCGGCTCCGTTTTCCCAGCGCACTGCTGTACATATATATATATGTATATCCTCGGACGCATGTAGATAGTGTTCTATCTGGTACTTGTGGTCATAAGGATTGAAGATGTGATTCTCCGTCTTGCACAAAACGTGGCATTGCGCGCACACCTCAGTACCTGATGGTCCCTACCGTGTACGTACACCCAAGCTAATGCACACATGCCGTGTGCCACCCCCTCTGTCGTAGAAACTGCGGCGAAGCTCCATATAGGGCTCTTTGTAGCGGGGCCGAAGGAGCCATGGACGACGCAGACATTTCTTCGGTTTACTATACGTATATGTCCAGCGTTGTGCGCACGGGTATGCCTGTGTTGCGTCGTATATACAAAAGGTAGCATATAGGTGTACGTGCATACGGTCATTCCGTGTGTTGTGTGCGCGCGTTAGCACGCAGGTCAGCACGGGTGAATATGCAACGAAGAGAGTATATGAAAGATTCGTGCACATATACTGTTACACCCAATAGGATGCTGTGGACACCCGAAATCGTAAACAGTTCATGAAGCAGACGTCTAGTGTTTATCTTGCTTCGATATGCAGTCCGTAAAGCGCCCCGTACGTCTGTATATCTAAGACGTGCGCGCGTGCGTATATATATATATATATATATATATATATATATATATACGTATATTATACAATACGGATATTTAGGTTTATAGATATATTCTACTATACGTATATGTCCAGCGTTGCGCGCAGGGGTATGCCTGTGTTGCGTCGTATATACAAAAGGTAGCATATAGGTGTATGTGCATACGGTCAATCCGTGTCTTGTGTGCGCGCGTTAGCACGCAGGTCAGCACGGATGAATGTGCAACGAAGAGAGTATATGAAAGATTCTTGCACGTATACGGTTACACTGCTACTTAACCATCGGTTTTCAGCCGGTGAAGGGCTTGCGGTGAGCGAGCACCTACTTTTGTGTGCTGCCACGATCTTTTTTTTTTTTTACTTTCCTATGTTTTGTGTGCAGGTATGATATGGATACTGTCGCGGACTTCTCTCAAGGTGAGTAAACGACTGGGTTGTGCATCCGCCGCGCAGCCTGCGCTGGCAACTTTGTTTTGTCCTACCAGGCTCGATTTTCTGTGCTCTTTCAAAACTTGTCTACTGCCGTGGTGTCCCCGCGCTGCCCCCCTCACATACCATCACCTGCTGCGGGGTCTTTTTTGTGGTGCTGCAGATGCTGGTGATATTTTTCCTGCTGCTGGTACTTCACCCGCTGCTGCGGCTAGCACTTCACGTGCAGCTGCTCCTCGTTCTCTACCGGCCGCTGCCGCTAGTGTTACGTGTCCCACTTCCGCTGTTTTGGCTGGTGGCGGCCTTTTGTGTTCTGCCAGGGAACTCTTAGAAGCTGGTAGAGAAGTTTTTTTCTTCAGCTCAGTTCGTACCCGCACACGTGAAGCATGTCAAGCCGTATGTATTCGAAGAGATCCAAATATATGTTGCTGCTGGTATCTTTGCAGCTGCCGCTGCTGCTGGTGCTACCCCATTTACTGTCGCTGTTCCGGGTGCTGACCGCTTGTGCTGTTTCAACCTGAGAACTTCGTATCGGTAGAGGAGATGTTCTGGGTAAAGTGGAGGCACATTTGTGGAGGCACCCTTTTACCTCTTGTGGATCCTGAATTAGCTTTGCTTGCAAAGAGGTACTGGGACGCGTATGCACTCGACTCATCGTCGTTCTCTAATTAGGTCGCGTCTTTGTCATGGAGCGGAGGAACGTGGGCAGCGGCTGTGGAGAAATATTCATCATGGCATCTGTTTACATTTCTGTCTTCTGGGCACGGCGTTGTTCGCCAAGAAGTGCTGGCCAACCATCAAGGGCGCCTGGGCGTTGGAGGGCGCCTGGGCGTTCGATGGCTTCGTCTGCAAAGAAGTGTTGATATGTCATGAGTATCGCGTCTGCATCGACCACGGGTATGTCATGAAGCGGAGGTAATACGGCACCGGGGGAGTGGATACGTACATACATCTGCATATGTACGTACATATATATATACGTATATATGCACATATATATATATATATATATATATATATATATATATATATGCGGAGGCATATATCGTGTGCGAGTGTCTCGTACCCGTGTATGAGCTGCGCAGGCGTCTTTGTTGTTACTGCTGTGAGCTGTCTTTTTGGCAGCTACGCGTCTTATGCTTTTGGAGAGTTTGACGCTGTCGTCAGTGTTTTGCCATGTTAATATCGAGCGGGAAAACAGTTTGAGAACGACGTTTACTTGAAAGAAGGGTCACTTTTGCTAAGGTACATGACGTAACGGCGGGTTTTTTCAATATCTATCCAATCTGCTCTCTTTATTTTCCTCTCTGCGTCTCTCTCTGGTTCTCTGTGTCTCTTCGATTCTGTCTCTTTCTCTCTGTATATATGTGGGTGTATGTATTATGGTGCGGTGAAGAATGGCTGCGCGTATGAATCTGGCGGTCCTGCAGAGATGATTAACAGCCTGGAACAGGTGGAGGCGGCTTCTGCGAAGGATCCGACGTCAGAAAAGGTGCTCGAGGAGATTTTCAACGAGGTATCCAGCAGCAACTACATCGTTGTCTTCGCCAGGTGCGTGAAAGCTCGAGGCACGCGCGTTGCATGTGTAGAGGTGTGCACATAGATGCAGAGGTGTAGAGGGTGTGTATCTCGCGCTCGTGCCCGTGTTTATACCCACCCATAAATGCCTAGCTTTTGTATAAATCAGTGTTCGTCTCGGTTACTCACCGGCGCGTTGTCCGAAAATGCGCAGTTTAGTGGGGGCATTAGTAGTCCCCGTTGGGGGGCGAGTTGATGAGTCGGCTGCCCAAGAAAGCCTTTGAAGCGGGCATGGATGGATTATCTACGGATAGGTGGCAGACAGGCGTAGTGCTGCTAAGATTGGTATTATCATCAGTAACAAGAACTCTATGGGGCCGCCGAGTGTTGCAGTTCCTACTAAGGTCAACACTAATAGTACCCTGTATATTTCAGGAATACTCCGCCAGTGTGCCGAAAGCGCGATGCTTTCAGACGCAGCCGATTCCGCGCGTTTGTAGTTGCGGTGTGGAAAGTAGGTAGATGCCCTACCTTCAAGCCTTTCGTGCTGCATTGTGGTGTTACCTCTCGACGGTGGTGGACGGGACGCGGGGGCAGCTTCTTCAAATTTGCGCATGTCCTTCGGTCGTGGTGGACACGTGAAACTCGTCATTTATGGGGACTGTAGCTGGTAGTATCCTGGGAGCACCCTTTGTGAAGCCCCTATCGCGTTGCTCGGACAATCACATAAGATCAGCAGCAGCTGAATATTTACTCTTTGTGGGTCTGCCCATGCGTTGCTGTCCCTTCAGTGTGGCGGGGGCGGGATACGGGTATGAGCAGTGATGACGTGGGTGAAGCGCTGTGTAAGTACACAACCGTATGTTTCAATAAACTCGCATTTTCGTGAAGAAGGACTTGTTGGGGTGCGGACGCCTGATGGCGCGCTTCTGCTGTTTCATCTAGTATGAATAGGCATCAAAAGCTGATGACGCTATTTGTATGCCGGCAACACTGTGTGTACCTGCGCATGTGTATGAACTACTAATACGCGAGTGTCACGCGCGGTGGCCTGCGCATGAGAGGTAAGTTGTGTTATCACTATTGTTCATTCTGCAAATGTAGCAGGAACAGCTGATTCCGGGGATATTAATACTAGCTATCCCGCAACGATTCTAAAGTGTTCTTCAAGGCGAATGCACAGAGGGCATATACGCAGCCACACTCGCGGGGAGTGTGGTGGACTTGTAGTGTTATTGTTATCCATCTAGGTTTGGTGTCTCTTATATCAGCGCGGTGAGGTCAGTACGATGGGCTACGAGCGCGCGAGGTGTGGCCCTTTACCAGGTCGACTAAGCGACTTCCCTGGTGGACTACGATACACCTGGGTAATTAGCGTCGCGCGTGCGATAGATGAGTATCTCTCTGCTTGCAGTACCCGTGTGGTGGCCGATGATAGGTGCATGATACATACGTATATGCGTATGCATACGTGTTTGTGTATATGTATACTATATATGTATATCTGCAGTGCATATCCTACAGTAGTGTGGCGGTGCCGCAGACGTGCTCAGCCGCCGGCTGGAAGTCGCAGAACGCGCTTTTTGTAGAAGCCTAGGTGTGCAGCAACACTTCCACATCAGTAT